CCCGCGACCAAACTGCCGCCGCTGCCACCGCGGCCACGCGCTCCCCGCCCGAGCCCGTTGCCATGATCGCTCAGGCTCCGGTTGACAAGGGCGGTCTCCGCCTCGGGACGGGGCCCGGGAAGGGACAATCGCCGACCAAGCCTCAGCCACCTCATAGGCGAGGGTGCCCACGTGACCGGGTTTGTCACAGAGGCGGCGGCGGCCATCTTGGAAGAGGGCAGAAAGCCCCCGCCCCCAGAAGATGCGCTTGCTTTCTGAGCGCGCAGAACTTGGAGAGGCTGGAAGTGAGATGAGGGTAGAAAGGCGCTGGGCACTTGTGGGGCTCAGAGCCTGGGGATTGGGCAGGAAAGACAGAAATGTCCAACAAGAGGCCCGCTTTCCCAGCGAGGCCCACACTCGCTGGGATAACTCCCAGTCTGAGGGAGGAGGCACAAGCTCACCCGTCCTAGGAAACTGCGCCATCAGGAAGCACCTGGTCTGATGATGGAAGTGACAAGTCCAGGCCCTCGGGGAGCAGCTCACCATTGGTAGAAACACCTTGCTGGGCCTGGGAGAGTCCCCAAACTGAAAGAGGAGACACCTTTCCCAGTTCTCAGAGAGCTCCCTGTGGGGTGGGGAAGCCATGGAGACGCCCTACAGATTCCCAGTCAAGTAGGACATTAACCACTGCTTTCTTATGTCATTTCTTTTATTGTGGTAAAATAAACATAACATAAAAGTTACCATTTTAACAGTTTTTAGGCATCCAGTTCAATGGCATTAAGTACATTCATGTTGTGCAACAACCATTTCTAGAACTTTTCATCTTCTCAAATTGAAACTCTACTCGTTAAACCATAACTCCCTCCCCCCAGTTCCTGGCAACCACCATTCTATTTTCTGTCTCTATGAATTTGACAACTATAGGTACCTCATATCATACAATATTTGTCCTTTTGTGTCTAGCCTATTTCACTCAGCATAATGCCTTCACAGTTCATCCATGTTGTAGCATGTGTCAGCATTTCACTCCTGAGTAACGTTCCGTTTATGTATCTACCACATTTTCTTTATCCATTCATCCGTCAACAGGCATTTGGGTTGTTTCCACCTGTTGGCTGTTGTGAATGATGCTGCTATGAACACAGATGCACAAATACCTATTCGAGTCCCTGCTTTCAATTCTTTTGGGTTACCATGTATTTTTAAAGCCAATCCAAAGAGAGGGCTCTTGCCTCTCACCTTCGGGAGCCACATTTGGTTTTTCAGGGGATGGGGTTGGCAAGGGGTAACAGCACCCCAGACTGAAGACAGTGACCATAACTGCACGCCAGTGAACTTTGCCACACTCTGCACCATAGGGTGAAAGGAACACAGAAGTTATCAAATAAGGTGGCCCGTCTTCCTTTCTCATCTCCCTAGGTCTCTTGTTTCTTTCTTTTGGCCAGAGTTTCACTGCCAAAATGAACTGCCTTGAAATGTACAAGTCAGAAACTCAAGAGGTTCAAACCTCCTTTTTAGCAGCAGAGGGTGCTCTCATCTCTTCCTCCGGAGCCCACCATGGCTTTATTTCAGTGTTTAAGTGTAGTCATCTGTCCGCCTGCACCTGAGTTATCTAGGCTGCTTATTTAGAACCCAGAGACTTTGATACAGAGCATCTGGGTGGGCCTGGGAGTCCGCATGTTACATTAGCTCCTCTGCTGATTCTAAGGCAGCCAGGATCAAGAAACATTGATCTATTTCAAGGCCTCTGGAGAGTCTTGGAGCTGTCCATGGTACCAAGAAGCCCTCTCTGCCCCCCAATCTCTCTCCACCAACCTATTCCCCCAAATCCTGTCTCTCCTCCTGGCATCCCTGGTCTCAGCGAGGGGCACCACCTTCGTTCAGTCATCCATGCTTGAAAGTTGCAAATGCTCAATATATCTCTCTCCCTGTCCTCCTAAAACCAGTCCATTACCAAGTCTTACAGGTTTTACACTGAAATGTCTCCCATCTTCCTCTTATCTATCTTTGTTTTCATTGTCCCAATTCAGGCTTTTAACCCATTGCACCAGCCTCCTCGTGGGTCTCCCTGCCTCCAGTCTCCACCACACCCCGTCCATTCTCTACACCACAGCCAGACCTGCCACTCTCCAGCTTAGAAACCTCCCCTGGTTTCCCGCCATCTTCAGATAAAGTTCAAGCACATTAATTGTCCTAAGAGACCCTTGCTGATTACCATTCTCTGAAATGACCCTCCTCTTCCTGCCTCCATGCCTTTGAACGCACTGTTCCCACCGTCTGGACTTTCTCCTCCTTTGTGTCTCTGCCTGGAAAACTCCTACATCAGACCCCACTCAGATGCCTCCATCTTGAACAAGCTTTCCCCATTGCCCACAGGCAGAATTAGTTACTCTCTGTACGCTTCTGCTGACATGCATGATAACTTTCCACCATGTTCTGTGTGTCACACTGTATGGAAATCATCTTAGCTTCCTCCATTAGTCTGGGAAGGAACATGGCTGGCCTGGCTCATCTCTATATCCCCATTTCCAGTGGCTAGAACAAGAGGCCCTCACAAATTAGTATGAATGCATAACTTAATAAGTTGTTCCCCACTTCATTTGTCAAATCTCAGAAGGCCATTCCGTGTAAGAGATATTCCTTTTGGCCTTGCATCTCAAAAGTGTTCTGCCTCAGGACCTTTGCACATGCCCTTCGCTCTGCCTAGAACACTCTGTCTCTAGATTTCTGCCTACCTCTCCTTCAGCATTCAGTGTAAATAATATGTCTACAGAGACATCTCTGATCTCTCCAATCTAAATCAGACCTCTTCAGGTGAAATAATGATACAAGAGAGGAAAACAGGAGGAATCACAAAGTAATATACAATTAAGTGCCAAGTGAGGAAAAGAGTTAAAAAGATTATTTAGGAGTTCAAGGAATGCAGAATTTACTGTCAATTAGGAAGCTAGATAAGACTTCATGTAAGAGATAGAATATAAGCTGAGTCTTCAAGATGGAGTAGATGGAAAATAGGTGAGGTGGTCATTCCAGAGGCTGTGGGCAGGGCTGCCATGTACAGTAGTGCAGGCAATTTAAGAGGCTCAAAGGGACTGAAATCCAGTTGTGCTCTGCCCACCAAGCCTCACTCATCAAGGCTTTGTCCACCCGCAGGGGGCACCTTTGCCGATTGGTTCACAGGCTCCCAGGGCTAGTGGAGGTCCTGTATTCAGAAGGAGGTGAGGAAAGTGCACAGTGAGAGTAGATTTAAGAAGGGGATCCTACACGTCTTCCAGGGGGCAGGGAGCAGACTGGACCAGTTGAAATATAAGCCATAGAGGAAGAACAGGAGACAAAGCCCATCTGAGCTCACTGTCAGGTCTTCAAACACCACAGTGAGCTCTGACTTCTCAGGAAACTCTAAAATGTGTTAGTGGAAAATCCAACCCCACATGGGACTCCTCAAAGAGAAGCTTCAGTTATGGCTGCCGAGGAGCAAAGAGCAAGTTATAATTAGGGACTAGGACTACTTCCAAAAAATACACAAATGTGTAAAAAAGCAGGTCTCTCCAGGAGTTCTCTCCTTGTGCTTCACAGCACTCACCCCAGCTGATGGAGAGTTTTACTTGTTTGTTGACTTGTCCTGGTCTGTCTCACTGGCCAGAGTCCAAGTGCCACAAGTAAGGAGTGGACTGTTCTAGTTGGTCACCATATCCCTATGCCTGGTTCAGTGCCCAGCAGACAGCAGGCATTCAATAACTAGTTCTTGAATGACTAAATGAATGAAAAACTAAACTGCTCCAATATTCAACAATAAGGAAACAGTTAAGCAAACTATGTTAAATGTTGTCAATGACAGCTTTAGCTGCTTAGGAAAATGTCGATGATGTAACACGAAGCATACTGGTGCAAGCATTGTAATTACAATGCTTAAAAACTGTTCTGCGTAAACAGGGCCTGGAAGAATAGAGAGAGAAATGAGAACAGCTGTGGTGCTGGTGACGTGAGATCTTGGTTGAAATTTTCCTCTCAGTTTTGGAAAACTATCAACCTCGAGGCTTTTCATATCCTTAGACCCAGAAATCCATCCCATTTCTGGAGATTTCTGCTACGAATCAGAAAGGCGGACTAAGCTTTATGTGTTAATCTGTTATCAGTGAGAAACATCTCTGTCCCAGGTACTGTACTAAGCATTTTGCATCTGTTGTGTTATTTAATCTTCACAACAGCCCTGGGATAAGTCCCATTATTAACCACATTTTACAGATGGTGAAGGAAATTGTAACTCAGAGAAGTCAAGTCACTTGCCCAAGTCACACAGCCAGTAAAGGCAAAGACAGGATTCAAACCCAGGGTGGTCTGACACTAGTGCCCATCTCTCAACACGCACAGTAACCCCCACACCCAGACCTTGTGCACACAAGTACTCAGCATATGTTTAAACATAACTGAGTCCATATATATGTATATGTATTTATACATAAATATATATACACACTAATCTTCACCTATGTGAAAATTATATGCAGAGAAAAACATTGGAAGCAAATATGCCAATATATTGACAGCAGTTATTCTGGGTGATGGAATTAGGGTGACATTTTCTTTATTCTTTGCTATATTTTCCAAATTTTCTACAATGAGCATGCATTGTTTTGATAACTGGAAATATGTAATTTTTAAATAAAAAAATGTTGCTTGATTGTTGTTCTGTCACTTTTACAGCAAGTCTGTTTCTGGGGGAAGAGACAGGAAGGGACAATTGAAGGGCAGCTTTTATTCCCCTGGTTGTTCACGCCCTGTTAGTGTCAGAGAGCAGCACCAGGTGGCGCCCGAGGTCCGGTTTTTGAAGAGGCTGGAGCGGATGCGGTGCAAGGAAGGTCCCACAGCAACAAGCGTCTGAGTAAAGCCGAACAGCTCCCGCCTGGCTCTACGTAAAATAAATTTTAAGTGACTCCAATTTTAAATGAATCCTAGCCATACGTGATCCGCTTGGTGCAGAGAGGATAAGAATGGGGGATATCTTCAAAGACAACAAGGGTCAGTGGGATCCACAGTGGGCAAAGTCCACAGGGGCTGGGCCTCTGCTTCATGGCGGGGCCTCGCAAAATGTCACGTGGTGTCTATCAAATGAGCGCCCCTTCCCACCCCTGGTCGCCATATGCACATGCTGTGGGAGGAGTCAGGAGGGGGCTCCCAGAGGAGGGGACAGAGACAAGAGGAGAGAGCCTGGCAGAGACAAAACTTGAGGAAAGGTCCGGAGTG